AGAAAATTTTACAATTTTAAGATGCTATTTGGTGCTTTCTGGGTACTTTCAAAGTGTATGAGTCAATGAAAAAATTACAAAAAAATATTTTTCAAAAAAAAATGTTTTTCAAATTTTTTTTCAAATTTATTTTGGGGGGTAACAAAGGGGGGTGCGGTCGCACCCATCGCACCCCCCCATCTGACGGCCCTGAGCTTACATTGACATCCAGCACAAACAGATCCAATTCCAAACGTCTTCAACTGAGAATCGAGAACATTCAATTTAATTACTATCTATATTTAACTATATTATATATAAATACAACAATAAAAAGATGAAGAAGGGAGCGAGACACCGAAAACTATATAATGCCCCTATAACAATAGAAAAATTGATATCTTGAAATCGATATCATCAATATGCAATTGTTGCACTAGGTTTAATAAGTAGTGCAATTTTTTCATTTATTTTTGATGTTTTTACTGGAGTAATCTGTAATTTAAGACGACAAATTGTCTATTTAGTAAAACATCAAAAGATATTTTATGTAATGTGACACTTGCTCTTGTATTGGATGAGCAATTTAAAGGCTGAACTTCATATGAAAGACAATATTTGGACATACATTGTTTTTACATTTTTATACAACTGAAAAGATTATTAATGCTTTGATATAAAGTTAACTTGGTTTTTAATGTTTTTTCTGCATAATATCAAAGCAAAACCAATTCAGTTAAAAAAACAAAAAAGTCATGATTGGTTTCGATCCATATCCATGGCCATCCGTGTGTCAGTCAAGCATTCTATCACTAGAACATCAGGACATTTCATATTCAGTTTGAAAATTTAGCGCGTTAAGTTCTAATTTCGTAATCAATACTAGTCACGTTATATTCTTAACTTAAAAATCTTCACGAGATATTGATTGGATGGTTGCCGATCATGTGAGCAATCAAAGGAACAATCCTCATTATGACACATTTACTGAAAGTATTTGAACATAACATTTTGCGCTATTTATCATCATAGACATATATTCTCTCATCATAGCTCAAAATATCACCTAAGGTACCTCAGATCAACCCACGATAGCTTCCTAGCAAGAGGTGCAAGTTTAACAGTTTTGATGCTAGAAAGACCACAAAGAACATAAAACCTCCTAATGGGGCAATTCAATTATGAACAATCTGCTCTGACTGGGTAAGAAAATTTCAAAGAATTATCTCTGAGTGTAGATCAAACTCTAAGCATTTGAGAAAGGTACAGGGGGGGGGGGGGGGGGGCGGGGGGGGGGGGGGGGGGGGGCGGGGTACAGCAGTGATCTCCACAGGATTTTTTCTCAAGTGGGTGCAAAATTCTCATTTTCACAATTCAGACCAAAATTGATCAAAATTGACCATTTTTCATGATTTTTCTCATTTTCAAGTGGGTGCAAATGGATGGTTGCAAATGGGTGCAAGCCTATTTTTAAAATCTCAGGTGGGTGCTGCGCCCACTTGCTTGAATGCTGGGGAGATCACTGCCAAGTTAAATATTGATATTATGCAAGAGGTTGTTATTTTAATACTAAATCTACTTAAAAAGAACAACATTTGTCGCAAAGGGCAACTTCATTAAGAGTGCAGACAGTTCAGGCTCTTTTATTCCAGGAAATAAATGTCATCTTAACCAATGATTTTGATTTATAAAATACAAAAACATCTGATATTTATAACTAAAAGCTCATTTTCTATTCCTCTTACATAGATGTATAATATATCACCTTACATTATACATCTAAAAAGCAGCAACTTCACGAAGTAGCAAATCCCACAAAACAAAGCATGTTTTGATAAATAGCGGCCATTTTGAAAATATCTTCTTATAAAAGAGCTACTATGTCTAAATGTACCAGTATATAAAATTTGAACCTAATCTGTCAACTGGCATTTAAGTTATCAAAGATTACGTTTTTTAAGAAAATGCAGCCATTTCAAAATTAAGCTGCCATAGTGAAAAGCCCTTCTCGAAAAGAATTCTTTTATCCCTAGGTTTCTGCATAAAAAATTGAACCAAATCCACTTACTGGTATTTGAGTTATCAAATATTATGTTTTTTATAAACAAAAAAAGTGGCCATTTTAAATTCAGCAGCCATATTTAAACTTCCTTCTTCAGCAGAGGTCCTACACCCATACTAGGGCATAAGCCTAGAAGATTTGGACCAAATATGTCAACCGGTATTTGAGATATATCAAATACACAAACGGATGGACAAACGGACAGATGGACAGATGGACGAATGAATGAACAATGAACAGCTTCTCTATTTCCCTATGATCTTCATATGGTGGGATAATTACAACAGATTTAAGATTTACAACTAGTTTTAAGAACAAAACCAAGAAAATTAATACACATATTAACTAATATTTAGAAAATGATAAATGTGACTCTGGGGGAATGAAATATATTGACAACACAATTAATATTTCAAAGTATATTTTCAAGTGATTGAGTGAACTGCCAGTTCTTTTTAATCAAAGCAAACTTTTTAGAAATATAAAGACATGCATTGTAATTCTTTCTGATGACCTGTCTTTTTAGTGCCATAAATCACTCAATAGAGAAGTTAAACTACAGATACTCAACAGAGCGTGAACATGAAGCAGAAAAATGATGTCAGATTATACTTTGTACAAGTCAGTGTGAGAGGGCCAGAGATTTATGTGTAGAGAGCCAATAAGTACATGTAGAGATTTCATCTATAAGTGAAAGCGCAACTTATGTTTATGTGTAAGCTATGTGGTGATTGTAAAATGCCCCATGGCACAATCGATTAAAATGCTGGGTTTTCAATTTTCAAACTTCAAGAGAGTGGGTTTGACACCCGCCAGAATCTAATTTTTCATTTTTTAACCGTCAACAATATATTTTACTGATCTATTTTTATATGATACACTCATGTTGATCTATCAAGACATTTGTTGCTCACTAATTCATAATATTCAAAGTTATTTTATTTTTTTCTAAAGATCCAGAGAGAGTGAATTTTCATAAAATAAGTTTTTGAAGAAAATCTGAATTGTATGAATTGTAGAAAAAAATGTGGATCGTCACTGAAGTTCTACCTTAACCCTTTCAAGGCGATAGGCTCCATTACGTAATACCTTTCAGGACAATAGGCTCCTTTTGGCACCACTATTTTTATTTACATACATGGATGAAATGGCAATATCTCCAGTTCTATTCAGTACTTTTATACCAAATTTTGACAAGTTGTTCTTATGTGATAATGCTTATTCAAAATTGTATTTTAGTGATAAAATTTAAAATATAGGTCCTGGGGTATATGTCACTTCCAGTTTTTACCGAAAAACTGCTCTTACTTATCCGTCACTGAGCCAACATTCTCCTCTTCTATTCACGTCAGGAAAGGGTTAAATGAATACGTGAGCATGAACATATATGTTCAGGTTCAAGGTTTGTATAATGTCTAGCTAATCTCTAATGCGCCTCTGAGCTATTATAAATGGTTATAATCTTTGTGTCAGATCTAATTGTCTTTGATTAGAAGGTCCCTAATGTCCTTTTTGCAAATTAATGAACAGTCTATAATTCCTATTACTCTGAGGATAGGTATCTTGCGAGATAAGGTATCAAACATTACCATAAGAGATGCCATATGCCATAACATAAGTACATCTATACAACTAATTACTAGCTAAAAGAAGTTTAAAAAAGTTCACATTTAAGATTAAGATATGTTCAATACGAAAGGTGATAATAACTGACGGACATGGCAAATAAGACAGATTGACAATAACAAATATTTGGCAAATAGGACAGACGGACAGATTGACATTTAGGAAAGACTGGCAGACAGGCAAGATTAACAGATATGAAAATTGACAGAAATGACATTTAGGACAGACAGACAGACAGGAAAACTGACAGACAAGACACAATAATAGACAGAGCAAGTAGATAGCCAGAAACGACTGACTGCATTTTGTCAAATGAATATCATTTAATTGAATGTGATTAATTAATATCAACAGTCAGATCCAATGAACAGTACACAGTGTAATAATCACAGCAGAAAATACTGTACGAATTCATGCATAAAAATCCAAACCATGTTATACACTACACTACCTACCCTTTTCAATAGTAATTTCACTTCTTCAAAACAGAGCTTCAACTACACTCTTTGAATAGGAGATACTTTGACGGAGCACTGTCCAATCAGAATAGCTTGATCAAGGTTAGATACGTAATCAGAATTGCAATTACCTTCACGAGTAGCTGCCATTTAATTCAAATTCAAAAGCCCATGAGAGACAACAACTAGGGTCATTAAGATATCGCTTCAAAACTAGTCATTTGTAGTCATTAGTCATTTGCCCTAGTCATGGCTACTACTAACTATAGTCAATAAAATTCAAAGAAAAATGAAAAGCCTGAACTTGTAAGTGATAATATATAAACCTTGGCCACACATTGCATTATGAAAGTAGAACAATTAGTGAAACCTTTTTTTAATCATTTCAATTTTTTTCCTGTTGACTTCAAATCCTCAAGATCTCAAGGTCGTTGCTATGTATAATATGAACATGGAATGGAACAATAAGTAATAGATGCAATGTAACAAATCTAATCCATAAGAGAATTCTTTGATTCACAGACTTTTTCAGTAAATGAATTTCCTAATCTGGCTTTTGAAATGCATATTATATAATACTTTTATCCCATGATAATAAAAAAAATCCAGGTTAATAATTGACAAATTAGATCATCATTCACTAAATCATGTCGATATCTGATATGCAAAAACGTTATGTGATTTTAGATATGTAATACAAGAATGACATTGATATATTTTGTCCAGGTAATCACCTGATAAGATTATTTATCATCTGTTTTTCAGGACACTACGGGGGACATTATTCAATTTCCTATTTCATTAGAAATACATTAGACAAAAAGAATGCTATCTATAGTGTAAGAGAAGGTATAAGTAGGAAATAAGCCAGTCACCTCTATCTTGTTACTTTGTGTTGAAAGGGAAGGATCAGGTCTCAATGGTATGGGTCTCATCCCTGGAAGGCTTTCACGTGCGGTACTGTAGAAGGCAAAATGGTCCTCATCCTGTGGCAAACAAAACACAACATTGAAGCAAAATCAACAAAGCAAGCATACAACTACAGAACAACAACAAGAAAAACAGCAACTCCACGGAGTGGCATATCTCACCGAATAAGTCATACTTTATCGAATCATTTCTCATTTCGAACATTTCATGGCAGAAATAACCAGGCAGCATTGTTTTTTCCTACTCATAACAAAACAAAACCCAGACTAAACGGTTATATTTTAAGTTATATTTTTCAAATAAAAAGACAAATATTTTTGAATTTTGAGATAAACTGAAAAAACATCATGTACATTTTATTTAAAAAAAATATAAATATTCAAAAATATATTTGGTAAAGCGCCAAAACAACTGATCTGCTCCTGCATTTTACCATGGAATATTTTTGATGAACAAAGAGACACATAAATTTGAGATAATCTTTCCGAGTGTAGGCAGGATGTCTGTGCTTTTTTAACTCAATATAGCTCAGGACTGGTTTCAAACAAATTTCCTGCAGAAGAACTGATTTATGGCCATTGTGGGATTGTGATCATACTGTGAAAAAATTATATAAAATTCATGATGTCTCTTACTAAAAGGTAGTCTCTGGTACTTTACTAGAATCTGGCGTTTCCAGCCCATGATTATTGTTTGACATGTGACTCATATTATTCATATAATAAGCTTCTTGTCAGGGCACCTGAGCGCACAAAATTTAGACCAAATCTGATATCAATAAAAATCAATACAATACAAATCAATACCTGAGTTATCTAAAATTACATGTTTCTAAGAATGGTAGCCATTTTGAATTCAGCAATTACCTTGAAAGTTCCTACTTTGAGCAATGGTTCTATGCATGTATAGCAACAGTTTTGCAATTGCAGATTTGAATCATATAATGCATAATCTGATAACTGGTCCATACAAATTATCACAGAAAAGGCCATTTAGGAAATTCTTTCTCCAGCATATGTCCAACCCTATAAGATATCAGCATGATTGGGAAAATACCAGAAAACTCAAAGATGACACTATCTGCATATAAAGATGAACCTCTCGGCATCAATCTATCAAAGGAGGTTCTTTGCTCTCTAGCATCAGCATATAAAATTCCAGATACGTAAACAGATGGACCAAAGGACGAACGGCTACTCTATATCCCAACTCGAACTTTGTTCGGTGAGATAACAAATTACAATAAACATTCAACACTGGCTCAAGCTTAATTAAGTCAACAGTTGTAGAAATACTATGTTAATCCTATAAGAGGATGGAGGTAAAACCGATGATAACATTTGTGTAAAATATTAGTTTTTGCTATAACAATGGAAGTAGAGTAAAATCTGTTCAGGTGGAAGTGGAACACCTTTGGCACCTCTTAAAAGAGTTCCACTTGCGAGGTGCTCCACTTATAGATGTTTATATAACATGAAGTCAATTGCATTAACATGACATGACCTTGTAAGTTATTCCAAATTGTTACAGGCGCCCAACTTCAAACATCAACAGCAGAACACTGTCCATAAAAAAGTTAGAGACTATAACAATATGTCATCATTTCTTGCAATAATAAAATGAATCCGATATAATTTCTATTCCCATTAGACATTATTACAAATTGCAAATATATGATATGTGTTGTGCGGAGAATGAAAGATTATTAAGAAAGTATTTAGACAGCAAGAATAGTATATGGCAATTGAAGAAATAAGAAGTTGACAAACCAATTCATCTTTGCATGAACTAAACGATTCAAATTAAAATGGCAAGTTGCAGAGGAAAATTTAATATACAAACCAAATATACAAACCACACTGTCAAATGCAATAAACTAGATGCGAGTAGAAAAAATCTTGATTTACGTCATTAAATATTCAAAATTCAGTCAAAGTGATGTCATATTTGAAATCTACATGTAAAACTACGTCTAGAAATATGATTTCGAAAATTGTTCATCAACTTTGAAAATTTAATTTATTTTGAAAATGTGATTTCTAGTTCGGGTTGATTCCCCATAGACCCCATGTTACAAAGTCACAAAAAGTGAAATATCTTTTCTTATTATCGACAAACATCATTTTCCTTTACTGGACATTTTTTAATTAGCATAACTATTAGATACATGAGGGTTATATGAAAATTGAACCACCAAAACAGATGTAATTTAAGTTAAAGGGAACTTTCTACCATACCCGCCATGCTATCTGACCCGAACGAGCCACCTGGTGGTGAAATTGGTAACTACCTACTCGCATCTGCGTTATTCTCATATATGTGAAATTATACATTTTTGCTCAATTGAGACACTAGGTAATATTCAACATAACCAATGCCAAAAGAGTAATGCCAAAGTTAATTTGTGGACCTGTAGTGAAAGAAAATTAAAATAAAACTAAAGCGAATCTCCATGCTCAATCATTAACAACAACCTCTGAGGATATCAGCCATAGCTTAAGGCTATTCCAGCGCGATATTAGTATCTTCTTATGAAATACTAAGCTCCTCCAATAATGAACAGAGGTGTATAAAAACAAGGCTTTAATGTTACAAGAGAAAATGTCATAACATGAAAAAGTGCAACAATCGTTACAGACATTGACACTGAGTACCATAAGTTCAAACTCTCTCATGGCCTTCTAGAAAGAAGTTAATAAAAGGCCCTGATTTCTCATGATGGGTAAAAGCTGATTTCTCCAATATCACGCAACTGCTTATAATTTGCTTGTAATGGTATAATCAAAAATGTATTACGAATACTAGTTTTTTCATGGATACATTATCATTATTATTTCATTTTTTGTGTAATAAGTTGCAATGAGGCACAGATTGCCGATAACTTATAACTCTTTGAAAGATCTCATGTAATGGCAATGGACACTTACATATGAGTTTATTGCTTATTAAAAAATGTGTGAATTTTATAAGTTGTGTGCTTACATAAAATACAAGTATATTATTTGCTCATTCACTGTTGACTGCGTCAAAGACAGCTATTGTATTGGTTGTCTAGGCAACTCAATTTGTGATTTTTTTTATTGTTTCAATACAGATGTTAACATTATTTCTCAAAGAACTCCATTGAAATTTGGGGATTTTCAAACTAAACATTTCTAAATTCTAAAAAAGGAAAAAGTACCTTTGGTTGAAGGTAACGCCCTGATGTTTAAAATGCCACAAAAAAACTAAACATATATTTAATCATGGAATATGTTTCCAAGAGTAATTACTCATGATGAAAAGATCACTTGTGTCATATTAGGTATTATAATTGTGAGATAATGAGTAGGAGTTCCTAAACACTTAGTAAGAAATCAATATTAATATGTTGAGGTACCAAAGGTGTTCCACTTATACAGGTTTTAGTGTTGATTGTAATTGTTATTCCCATTCTTAACCCATTATAGTATCTCGTATGTCTCTTTAAGTCACAGATTCTTCATTTAAGATGCAGTTGGGCATTCAAAATACAAATGATAATATATTGACCAGATAAGTGGCTTGACAAGATACTAGAAAAAAGAGTAATCCAACTATTTAAAGCAAATCATCTAATCGTAATGAAGTAAGGCAGATGACCGAACTTAGCCTTATTGCACAAACAGCACTATCCACAAGTTCAATTAGAATATGCAACTAGTAGTATAAGTAGCTTGATTAATGTATCAAAGATTCAAGCATGACTGTATTCATCTTTCTATAAACTGTGAACGAAGTCAATATTTCATCCGGTATTTATTCGTCAATACAATACCTGGTCTGTACTAAGTGTCTCGTTCAGTGCAAATGCTTAACCAGGAGTAAGTAATAAAGTGACGATTTTGCAACATTTTGGCAAATTTTCATGTTCTAATTGTAATATAGACCTCAGATTGGGTATTACATGTACAAATATATTGATGAATAAATACCTTAGGGCTAGGCATGAAAGCTTTTGAACCACTTACTTCCTTCGGACATTAGGGGTACAGAAAACATTTGTGCCTAGCCCTGCGGTATCTATTCATCGATATAATACCTGCTCTTTGATCAGTATATCTTTCACCTAGATTTTTTCAAGAAATCTGAATTATAGAAAAAGAGTTGATTGACAGTGAAGTTCTACCTTAAACCAATATAAAAGTAAACAACATCTTTGGAGTTTCCCTTTTCAATAGGTTTGCTTCTTTACAAGAGAGCTTTAATATACTAGAGCTAATATTCTAGGCTATGACATTCAGGGTGCATTGGAACATTCATGTGGTATAAAAGGTATTTTGAACCAACATGCCATCTATTTATACTGGACTAAAATGTGCCTCAATACTAGAGTGCACTTGTATTAGTCATACTCTATAACTCAATTTGCTCTATCTTGTGATAGAAAGGAAGGAAGGAGGTGGGGTGGATAAATGGTCTTGATACTAGACTATTCTTGTATCATAAATTAGCCTCTTTTACCTATGACTGACCCCTACCCCAAGGGATCATCCTCAGTGTCTCAAGAGGTGTTGGCAACCAGTCCAATACCAAGTTGTGATCCATGATTGATGAATTAACTCGGAAAATAGACGTATCCAGCTAGAGGATGTGTGTGTAGTGTATGTTATGAGGTATATAAAACTCTTAGAATAACAGTGTCACAATACCAAGTTACATCCGCACAGTTGTATACACTCATATGTAGCATGCACATTTCCTCATAAAAACTACAATACAGTAAGACCTTTGTAAACAGAACAACTTTATGTTAGTGCCTCAAAATGATGTTCTACCTGGAGGAGTTCAATGAACAGAGGTTCACTGTACATCAAGTTTTGCGAAATGGATGTTTTCTATTCACAGAGATGTTCTACTGAAAAGGGTTTTCTGTACTTTTATACATACCACATGTAATGGACTTTTCTCTTTGGTGCCATCCCCATTTAGTGACGTTTCTTCTGTATTTGAAGAGCTCTTCTCAGGAGACTTTCTGTCTGGAGATGCTCGACAATCTAACGTCACAAGTTCTCGACATTTCTGGTGACAAGTATATTGGCAATCTGCAAAAACACAGTAATGGTTGATACATTTCTTTAAACTTAAAAGTGAAAAACGCATGGCTGAGTACGTCCCGAAAAAATGATGCCCAAAAAATCTGCTCCTAGCCCCACATAAACTGGGCAATTGATATTACAAACTTACATGACTGGGCATTATATTTTCATTTTGGGCCTTATTTTAAGAAATTGGCCCCAGAATTTCTAAATCAGAGCCCAACATTTTTTTGCACAAGTACTGAATATTTTGCACCCCCCTCGCACTTGATTTCCAGGACAGCCCTTGGTATGGTACAACCATAAATGCAATAATATCAAGATTTTGACTTGATATCATTGAAGATATTTAATCATGAAATCCTGTGGAACAGCAATTTATCAACACAAAACTCCTGATAACCATTAAATGCTATTTAATGATCATGATCAAACAATGATTGGGTTATTTGAACCCAATCATTGTTTGATCAAGTAACTTATACAATACTATAATTGATAGATGGCACAAAGTACTGATAATTCTACCCAAAATAAATTGATTGCTCTACAGATGGTTGATAGATACCATTCATCACACCTTTCTAATTTCAAACTAGCAATACCCTGGAAGAATCTGATAAAAGGCTTTGAGTGTGACTTTTCATTAGTTCAAAATAGATAGCTCAAGCAGCTTCAGCCCCTTTGCAGCTGATGTCAATATTTGTATGGACATCATCATGATAAACCTAAACCATGACATCTAATTTCTTGTCAGTCTTGAGATCTGAAAGAGAAAGTTGCCTTGAGTGTCAAATACAAGGATATGGACATCTGATGAAGAAATATTGTCTTTGAAAGTTGATCTAACTACTAGTTGCCATAATACATACGTCAATATGCAAAATATAACTTCATTATTCTTTGATTAATATTTTGATACTCATTACATGTATCTGTTTCATAAGAAACATGCTCTGATATTATTAGACATATTCTTGGAATTCAGCTTATCTGATGTGAGAAAGTAATAACATTCATTAAGGCAGTTCCGTAGATCAGTAACGTTAATGACTTCCTGATTAGTTCACATTATTTTCAGGTTCATATAACTTTTTCAATATATGGTTAAATCTTTTGCACAAAGTCGTACTTGGTATGGTTCTGTCGGTATCAAAATTTGAACAATTTGAAAAGTTGTGTAAAGTTACATGGATGTTGTATGTCAAATGGATATATTGACATGTATAATTCTAATAAAGATGAAATCTTATAATCTAGATTATTAGTTGTGACTGTCATTAAATATCAACACAGATATAAATGATATATTCGCCACAAGTTTGATAACTCCAAATTAGAAAAAATAAAAGTTTCTCGATGAAAGATCATACTGTTAAACCAGCATATTCCTTACGTCATAGTGGCATTTTTGGTCTACGGATTATGCCAAAACAGCATGTGGTATAATTTCATTGATGTGTTATGAGAAAGATTTCGAAATTCATTGCCTTTAGATTTCTTTAACTTATTTCTAAACTACAGTATTTTAGACCCAAAGAATGTGTTAAAAAAGTTAATAAACTGTTTAATTACTGATAAAGAAAATGTATGACTTTACAACACCTACTCCTTTTAAACTAGATAACTACAATGTATAGCAAACGATGATATTTGAGTTATTGTCTGGACAGAGAGATAGATAGACAGACGGACAGATGGAGGCTTTCTCAATATCCACCTAAATTTCTTAGATGGAATAACAAATGTTTCCAATTATCATAAGACACCTTTGTAATGAGTCACCCACACTATTTCAATAATATCATATATCTAAAAGTAATAAGTTATATAAAACTTCTAGAGTAAAATTCACAAGTCATAATACAGTATACCCTGATACAAAGAGTCTAGTAGTAATTGTTTAACACTGAGTATGACAAAATATATCGTTTTCATGTCAAATGGAGAATCAGATTTTTATAAGGTGACAAAACTTCAAGCAATGTGTACAATTGACCTACCAATCTATTCCTTACAATGTCAAATACAATATCTCCAAAAAGATCTGTAAAATTTTATGAATTGGTGAAGTTATTCAGGATTCAAATTGAAAAATAGGAAAAAATGTTCAAATCTCCCTAATAATGCATATTTGATATTAATACATAATCATATTTATGCAAAATAATACATTATTGTAAATATTTTTAATTTTCCTGAAATAAAGTATGAGTCAAAAATACTATAAAAACCGAAACAATTTTTGATTAGCATGCTCGATAAATCTGATTCTCCCTTAGCACTGGTGATCCACTCGATTGCGATGGTCACGCATTGCGGGCAGAATTCTCACAACATTTTTATCACAAATGTGTTTCAGTATCATATGTTTAAGAAAATGTACATGTTTGTGAACAAATAGTTCAGAAGACAACAGAATCGTCAATTTAATACCTCACTTAAGTTACGTTAACATGGAATGCAGATCTTAACAATTTTTCGAAGTTCCGTTTACATAATTTAAGAGAGGTATGAAATCGCTATTCTGTGGTCTTCTGAACTATTTGTTTGCAAACATGTACATTTTCTTAGATATATGATATTGACACATGTTTGTAACAAAAATGCCATGGGAATTTGGCCTACAACGCATGGAATAAGGAAAAAAGAAGAATCGTACCTTCGAGGTTCCAACATTTTGTTAACGAAACGGTTCTTTCAGAAACCAGCGTAATCAAGTGGATCACCAGTGTGAAGAGTTTCATTGACTTGAAAAGTTGTTGGAGCCTTTCGTGGGAGTTTGAATATGGAATAAATGGTTGGTTAAGGCTAGATCAAAGGACTTTATCTTATTCGAAGAGTGCAAATGAGGTGATATCAAAATTTTTAAAAGGGTAAGCAGTGTTCAGGTAACAAAGTATAAATTGTTAGCATTTGATGCCCACATGCTACCTAATAATAATATACAATATTCAACTCAAGACATTTATATTATTTTGTCAATTAGACCTACACAATGAACTAGAAAAACAGCAATCCCAACGAACAAAACCACATCCGTTCACTGGTATTTGAGTTATCAAAGATTACGTTTTTTATGAAAAATGGAAGCCATTTTGAAATTCAGTCACCATCTTGAAAATTCTTTAACAGAGCTACTGTGTCCCTAGGCATCATCATACAAAATCTGAACCAAATCCATTCAGATTAGTTTTTTTTACAAACATGGCCACCATTTTGAAATTTAGCAGCCATCTTGAAAACTTCTTCTTGAGCGAAGCTCCTTTGTCCTTAGGCATCAGCACATAAAATTTGGATCAAATCTCTCAACTTGTGTTTGAGTTATCAAAGATTGCATTTTGTACGAAAAATGGTGGCCATTTTGAATTGAAAGGCCATATTGAAAATTCCTTCTCAAATAAAATTTGAATTAAATCCGTCAATTGGTATTTAAGTTATCGTCCAGACACACGGACGGACGGGCAGATGGATGGCTTTCCTATATCTCCCTCGAACTTCATTCGGTAGGATAATTACTAATATTAAATATTTTTCATCAAGGAGTCTTTTTTCTAAATAGATACCGATTATTTCAGGTATATCTGAAATAAAAATAGAAACACTGATTAATGAGAAATATAACTAGGCAAAAAACAGCATTTTCAAAGAGTAGCATATTCTACCAAACATATATAGACTCCAAACCTTTTGGAGATGGTTTTCGTTGTTTGGCAATCAATGTCTGTAACAAGCGCAGGTGGTGACATTTTGCATGTAAATGCCTTGTTTATCAAATCCCTCATCAATTGTAACATTTCATAATAGCAGTAACCAGGCAGAAGTATTGTCTCCTTTTACCAGAACAAGTAAAATAGTTACCAATTCAAGCAAAGAGCTAATCTAGATCTTGGAAATATAATGTGATATATATACCTGTACATGTGTACATATACTACATACCCTCGTACATACATGTACCACCAAAATATTGTACTGAATAAATAATGTCATAAGGTAAAAATGCCCTAGTTCCTGTCATTTAATTTTTCCGTTAAAGTTGATACAGACTTGACATTCAACATGGGCAGATCTTGGAATCCTAAAAGTGGAAGGCCCCACTAAGAACCCCTTAGCTTGAGTTAAATGTGTAGGAATATTGAAAGTCTGACATGCATGGCATGCATAAACAGATGGAATATTTCATAACTAATTAACAAGAATGGCTTGATCGAACAGCTGCATGGTCAAAAGAAAATACCTTCAAAAACAACCACAGCTGTATGTGCATGTTACACTATTTAAATATCAATATGCGTGTAAAATGCCCCCCCCCCCCATTTGTGGGTATAGGTTCATCAAAAATAATTCTCATAAATTAATAATTGGACAAGGCATTAAAATGCAAAATGTCACCAACTGCCATTTGTTACAGACACTGACCGCCGAACCCTAACCACCAACAATCGACCATCGAACACCAAAAAAAGGTTGGGAACTATAACAATATGTCACTACAAGTGGTGGTGACATAAAAACTAGACTAATACTTTCTCTAATTTTGGAGAGTAATCATGATATTATACGAAAATGTGTGTTTCCCAAAAATATTTTGTATAACAATTTCAACGTAACACCAGGTAAGCCAATACCCAGAGCAATATAACATAAATCAAAACCACAAAAGCAATGCATTATTACATTCAAGCAGTTAGTAAATGGTACAATCAAAAGTATACAAAGTAAACCTGATATACCCAAATGGCGGCTACTGAAGTATATTTTGGGCCTCATTTTCAGAAATAGGTCATATGAAAAACAGGGCATTTTTAGATGCGAATATTTTTTTAAATTTGCCTAAATTTTGCTCCGACTAGACCCCTCCCATAGATCGGCCCCTTCGAGCTAGTCGCATGAACTTTCAAACAGTTGAAACCCAAGGTATTACAGAAATATACAACATAGGTACTATCTATATAAAAGCAGATAAATAAGGATTCCAAAGCTACCAAACATATTTAAGAACAGTTGTGAGTAATTATTCAATCCCCTGGTTAATAGCAACTTGCCAGTTGTATAAATAAACACATTTCTGAGCAGTTTATACCTACCTGTTTCTATATCTCTTGCTATTATACCAGGTGTATCAGTTTCTGTATCATTTTCTTTGTACCACTCTTTATAACGTTCTGTTATTGTCTGTCGTTTCCTTTCAGGCTTTGCTTCACTTTTACTTTGAGCAGTGTTACGTGAACTACTATCTGAATCTTGATGCATTTTTTCTCTTTGAGCAAATCTTGAATACTGCTTGGTATTGTCGTAAGGAATATCTGTTTTACGCGTATCATCTTTAGAATCAGTATCACAGCGGCTATATCCATGCCCGGCAGGAACATACTCTGAATGTCTTTCTGTTCTGGGGCTATATTCAGTTGACGTTTCCCGAGGTTCATATTTTGAGTACTCAGACTCTATTTCATCACTATAGCTATAATGTCTGCTCCCTCGCTTTGCTTTATTTTCATCTGGAGTATCATATCTCCCGGGACGACCAAAGTCAAATGATGCTGAACCACCATGTTTGGTCCAAGATGGCCACTCATGTTCATCATCATCATCAAGGAAGTCACGTTTTTTGAGCGAATCCCAATGCCTTTTGGCTTCCTCCTCAAAGGTATCAAACTCTCTACCAAAGCTGGAGCGTTTACTAAACAATTCATCAAGCAAGCTGTTGCGACTAGTAGGATTAGCATTAAACTGGGAAGAATTGCGCTTAGCTTTAAAAAACATACCTTCATCACCTTTGCTAGCATCTGGAGGATCAGCCTTATACCTTGTGGATGGTTTGTCTTTCGTATACTTATCACCATAATTTCTATCTGATTTTAAACTACTAGTTTTATATTCATCTAAAGAGTCCGTTTTATACTTTGATGTTGGTCTGTCTTTCTTGAGTGGATCGGTGTAGCTTTTGTCTGCTCTCCAGTCATTGCCTTTAGAATCAAGCTTTGCTGTTCCATATTTCTGGTAGCGAATGGAAGAGGCTTTCTCATTATCAGTGCGATTATCTCCTCTTAGAAAACTACGCGCATCTTCATAGTCATCATCTGATTCACTGTCAAATACACTCAGAAATTCTGTATGTCGTCCAAGTAGTGAAGGTCGATCACATTGGGATTTCCTTTTAGATTTATCAGACTCAAACGTGGAGCTGTTGTAATCTGAGAATACTGATGTAGAACTAGTTTTACCACCTTTTCTGTCATTATATTCTCGTAGCAATTCATGGCCATCTTGAGTAGTTTCCCTCGGCTTCTCTCGCCTGGTGGTTTCATAATTACTCACAAAATTATCAAAATCATCCAGCGCCGATTGAAATCCATCGTCATCCATGAAGTTGCGTATTTTAGACCTCATGCGATGATGACCGAATCCTCGGCTAAGCAAATCATCAAATATGTCCGAATCCAGGAATCCACCAAGATCTTTACTGTGTCTAGTATGGCCTCTAAGTCCTCCAATCCCACCTGACCTTCGAAGATGAGACGGATCCCTGAAAAAACCAGTAGAGCTGTCTCGATCCATATACCTAGTATTATATGTTACAGTAATGATTACCAGAGAAGCTCGCTGTGTAAGATAAGCTTCATATGCAACATCAATCTCTATGTGCAACAAGTCAAAATATCTTCTCTCAAAATAGTTTGGTAACATCTAACACGTCGTTATAAGAGGTAGCCAATTGTGAATTCAACACTGTGTTTACTGCAGGGAAATACCTGAGGTTTACCTATGGATGTTTATCAGGTAAACCTGAATCATATTCACCGATAAGGAGCAGCTGGAGCTGGAAATGGGGGGTCTTGTACGACCTTTGAGGGAATCACCACTGAACATGATGAACGTGAAAATAACATAAAGATCCAAAATGGCAACACAAGTACTGCACTCAAAGATTGATGGAATACTCAGAGTTCCAAGCCCTCAAATGTAGACAGTGCATTTCTCTTTTAGAGCTTACATAAATCTAAATGTTTATCGAAAATCTAATCAGCTGAACTACAGACTGGAAGCAATTACCAAACAAACACTTCCCAATGAGAGACACAAACCAACACAATCAAGTTGCTCAAATTGCTTTTCCATCTAAAACAACCTTCAAAACTTTCAACACAAAATAATAGCAATTGCAGTTGTAAACATGATTTTTGCAGAAGTACAGTCATGTACTCTATAATTCTCTACATGTTGAGTTAAAAGACAAGTGTCAAAACACCTGATATTTGAGTGATAATGTTACAATGTCATCCCTGTTATGTGATCATGTAAATAAGAAGTGTGTGATTTTGACTGAAGTAACTTTCAAGATCCCCTGTCTGTTCTATTGCTTTATCCATTTACTGAAACAATATTTAGATAATCTAATTGGCATTTCTTGATAACTAATGATGACATAACTGAAGTAAACCAGGAAATTCCTGGCTTTACCGCACCTAACCTGCCACAAGATGACATAATAGTTTCATTTATCATCCACATTGCCAATGGTCCCCCCTCTCATAAACTTATGACTAAGAATGATACCAAGGCATAATTATGTAAACAGGTTGGTTTATCTTAGCTGCAAATCTATATGAAGAAATTCCAGAACACAAAATATCTGACTTTAATTACATATACTGACCTTTTTACTTCAATCTGCGTTTATACAATCTGATATCATCTAGAGTCGAATCAGGCAAATCTTTTTTAAACTTCAACTAGGGGCAAAGTTATAAATTAATGATTAAAAGGTAATTTAATGTTGACAACTAATACATGTAAAGGCATGTAATTCAAAGGTTCAAATTGCAACTCCAATAGTTTGGTTTTAATCTAAAACTTTGAATAAGAACAAAGCTTCCCCAAATGCTTGAATAAAAGTGAAGATATTTTGACTGATGCTGCATATACAGAATATCATCCATCTGCCAGAATACAGATAAAGACAAAACAAAATAAGTTATCTGGAACATACATCTCTGAAGAATACTGAATGGAGTGTAAAATGCACCATCTAATTCAGAGCCATAATTGAGGTCGTAGTATCAATCACTGGAGGACAAATCATAATTCCAAAAATTTAGAATTGAATTGTTAGAGTTAGATAATAATCATAAATGCTAAATATAAAAAAATGTTTGTAGCTACACATGTTATTATAAATATATATTAGAGAGGTTTCGCACAATATTTTTAACTCAATGTATCTAAAATCTGTAATGTATTCACCAGATTTACGCATAGTAGTTCAATTAAAATGAGATATGGTTGCGGATAGGTTTTAGCTGTAACCCATTGTGCGAAACCTCCCCATTGAATTTGTTCCTTTACACTGAACTGATGTTTGTATAATACGCAACAGCCTATACCTGGTTATATAAAGCTGGATGGCTGGCTGGCTCGGCAGAGATGGTCCAATATCCAGCTTCCAATAAACTGATAAAGTAATGTCACTGAGTCAGGGTGTTCTGCACTGTTGGGCTGCCATCCAATGTTTGCTTCCAAGTTTACAGTAAGCAATTATCTAATAATCTTGCATCCTCCAATGACAACCAATTTAATCCCCATGGGGTATAATATGAGCAGCTTTATAATCAGACCTATGAGTTAAAGGGATTTATAGCTAATAATCCAACAGTCCATCTGGGTCCAAGTAATTCATTTATACATAAATGAAGCAAGAAAATATTTCAGTGTCTTAATTGCGTACAGTACTTGAGCATCAAATATTGGATCAATAGACTCAATAAACTTATGAGCTATATATTACTTCAGGATGTGGTGGCTTCTCTACAATTTATGAATAACTTGGTTATGTCTGTTATCTGCTGGTAATCAGGTTAGCCAGATGGTGGTCCGTGTCTAATATTTGACTAGAATCTGTTCAATGTCTGGTGATTTTCTATTGTAGATTCTTGTACACCATTAAAAAACAATGTGTGGATTATTACTACTAAAGACCTTCTTATGTGATTGTGATCCTCTATTGTATTTCCTGAGTCTGGAAAGTCCCAAAAACTTGCAGAGAGAAAAAGCTGACCTGTGATTCCTTTTCCTTTCCAAATGTTGTTCAAATTGCACCCCTCGAATTGCCAGCTCTCACCAGCACACTCAGAGGTCAGTTTCAAACCAAAATTAGCTCCTCATGAAATGTATCAACGTGTGTTGTTCGAATAAAGTATATCAACTAGTCTCTATATGTTTACTTAAAACTGACTTTTGCAGGATGCAGACATCCAAAATGTTACACATACAAGCCTATAAAGGATCTCTAAAAAGTACATCAAGTCCGTTTAGTTGTAGTATATGTGTCTGTCTGTGCTTGGATCTCTGCTAAGTCTAATCCTTTCACCTGGCTACTTAATCCAGGTGATAAAAAACCCTAGCTCACTTTTCTAGACGTATCAGGACTAAAATAACTTAAGGTCTCTTCTTTCCAATTTACATCAACTATAACAGCTGACTTGGGATTATCCTTCAAGCTGGCAGCATAAATCCATAGAAGATTAAGGATTAATAGTTTGCACTAATCCATATGTTACTACACCGTGTTTTCTAAATCCATAAGTTATCTCTAAATCTGTATGATATACTCCCACTATTAATCCATGTGTTTTTTGTGTAACTTATGTATGTGTAACTGACCTCAATCTATGTATTATCATGTCACTTATCCAACTATAATCCATCACTTATTTATGGATTATCCTGTCACTTTATCCTGTCACTAATCCATCTATTATCTTGTTACTAATCTATCTATTATCCTGTTACTAATTTATGGATTATCCTACCACTATTCCATGTCATGTATTTATATTGCTATCATTAATTCATCTTTGGATCCTGTTATCCTGTTACTAATCCATCCATTTATTATCCTGTTACTACTTTATGTATTATCAAGTCACTACTCCAGATGTTCCAGAATTGTGTTATAAGTCTGTTACTTAAATAAATATATGTTTTATTCCATTACTAATCCTGTATTATCCTGCTAAAAATCCATGTATTATCAAATTTTGGGACTTACAATTATATCTTGTATTTCAGAGACCTCAATCAGGAAACATAGAACTTTTCTAATGTCAATAGAGATTTCTCATGGTAATGAGATCTCCAGGAGTTGTAGGAGTTTCAACTTTCAGCAAGAGGTCCCACTCCAGGCACTAGGATCCTCTGTAGAGATATTTGAGAAAGTAAAGTTAGAAAAGTTTGGGAGTTGAGGGGTCCTAGGGTTATCTCTCTACATGCAACCTATATCTCAAAACTCAAGTGTTTAACTGTCCTCATACGTATCTCCGACAAATCACTTGCAGAAACATTTCTATTTTCACCGCTGAAGCTTCTTTACATTTCAAAGATTTGTTTCAGATACGTAGTCCGCTTAACATACCTCAAGCTTTTTTTAAGAGGCCAGAGGAATTTTTAACAAATATTAACTGCACCTTTAAGTGTATTTCTGTCCTCCAAAATGTTAACACCAACAGCCTGTGTAGATGTACTCCTGTTATATAAACGTCTATAAACACTTATGCCAAATGCATGTTGTTAGTTTTAAGTTCTGTTTTGCTTAAGATTGTCATGATCTCAAAAGGTTTAAAATTCATTAATATTTGTTGAAGTATGTCTCGATATCTTTAAAATGATTTAAAGTGTTTTAAACATGTGTGCCTTATTCTCAACATGTGATTTATTACATTCCTTTGATTGTACATTATGAGTGGTAAAATCCTGAATAAAACAAACAAAAATAAATCTATCTATGTTGCTGTCAGTTCAAAGTTTTATTCAGTTTTATTTAATATCACTCAACCACATGTAAAACACTATATCAAAAATAAGTTAAATACAGACAGTAAAACCTCTCAAAGTTGAATACCTGTACCAGTGTACCTCTAAAACAATTTAAAGCCATATGGTACAAATAACAACAGTAGGTAAACAAATTACAACAATATCAGATAGATATTCATCATCAGTAACTTTTTTGAAACAAGACTATTGAATGCATGCTGAAAATAAATCCTTGTTAGGCCTACAACTGTGTTTTCATGCCTTTATGCCTTTATATTAGAAATATACTAAGATGTTCCTTCATACAGGTTTAATTGTACATAACACACATGATATCAACTCAAAGGTATGTTGAAAATAGAAATATTGAACAATAATGTTTAACATACAGCATGCAAACTTGTTTTGGCCATCCTGTCAAAAAAAACACAAAACGAAAAACATCAATTAGTGGCATCCACTTCCTTTCTCAATTAGTTAAGAACATTTTGCCAGCTTTTTACATTTCTATTACACTTCTGTGAATTCTTTATAATGTATATATTAAACGAAAATGTATTTCTATTAAATTCTACTTAATAAATCATCTACCATTGTATGTGGCTAAAGGGTTTGGTTTATCAAAATGAAAGCAATTACCTACTTTGATTTAGTATTATGATGTCAGAAAGGTTCTATATAACAAGGAGGATTGGCTCCCAGAATGCAACACCGATA